CGGAGGCCTCATTCACAATGTAGTCGAGATAAAAAGTAAACACAAGAAATGCAGAGGAAACTATTAAATCAGTTCAATAAAAATATACTAGACTGAAGTACTGAAAGCACAGATGTCAAAGAGGTTAAAGGCACAACGTTTTACTGTGTTGTAGCGTAGAAAGGCTGAAGGATTTTGAGAAAAGGTTAGAGTTACATGTGAGGAGATTATTTAAAAAGGAATTTCATCTGAAGGTATTTCAGCAAAGAACTGAATTATAATAAAAATGAATGGATTTTCATTAACTTTAGCTGTCAAATGACTCCCACAGACCAACTGTCTCACGCTGTACCAGACAAATGTTGTCAATGCTTCCACTAGAAATACAACTAAATAAAATGAGGACGCTTGGAGACCCTTTATCAACTTTGTAAAAGACCTGGATTTAACAGACATCACACAGGGGAACCAGTGTTTGTTGTGAGCTCTGCAGACTCTGTAAAGAATTACTCTGGAGGTCTTACCGAGGATAATAAAGATGGATTACCACTGTGAGAGGAGCAGCTCACTGTTTATTGCAGTATCTTTTCAGTATGTTAGTCGTTTGCTTGATAAAACGATTGAGAAGAAAATGTGAATTTAAAGCGAATAAATCAACTAAACCAAGAACAGCAACACAAAATGAGTGCATTTCATTCGCATACACACCCTCGGTTAAGTTAACTTCCTGTTTAGCAAGTTAGTGACTTAATACTGACCTGAGTCCCTCCAGCTGAACAAAGCATCCGAACTGCATGATGCTGGTGACCTTTCCGTTGTAGATGTCGCCGACAGAAGGCTCCTCAGGTGGAGGCCGGTCCACATGTTTGTCCTTCCAGCGGTCGGAGTCTCTGTCTTGGTCTTTCCTGGGACTGGGCGAGCGATCGGACCAGCGGGAGGATTTGTCTCTTCTTTTGCCGCGATCGCGATCTCTGTCTCGTTCTCTGTGGCGGTCCCGGTCTCTGGAGCGAGACCTGGATCTGGACCGCGATCGGGAGCGGTGGCGCCTCTTCCTGTCCTTCTCCCGATCCCGATCCCGGTGTCTGTCCCGGTCTCGGTCTCTGCTTCGGCTGCGACTTCTGCGGCTTTTTTCTGTCCTGTGAGAATAAGAATAATGAAGAACATTAAAGTAAACATCAGAGCCCACTGGTCTTCAGAGACCTTCGTCGGTTGTTGTGTTTTTCTTTCTTAAGTTTAATTTTCCTTCCTGCCTGTCATCTTACTTGCTCTTGCTGACTTTGGAGTCCGTCCCACTGACGCTGGGCATGAACATTTCCAGCTCTTTCATGGCGTCAGCTGCGACTTTCACGTCGTCTTCATCCAGCAGCTTCTAGAAATTCAGCGAAACAAAACAACAACGTCACGTCAACGTCCCCGGAACCACATCCGAGTTTAGTTTCACCATAACGTTGAACATTTTTTAATATTTTCAGATTTACAAAGGCAGGTAACAATTATATTAAAAATAATAATGACAAAAAATATGCATAAAAAGATAGCAAACAAGCCAAAAACCGGGATACCCAGTAAGACAGTGTTACAACAAGAAGCTAGTCAGGCTGAGCAGAAAGAGCAGAAAAAGACCTGAAACATAGTTAAACACTTAAAATGCAGGATTTTAATATGAATAAATTAATACCAATGAAACACTAAAAGCACCAAAAAATGAGACAGCACATTAACAAAAAGAAAAAATATAGATATGAGCAAAAAATAAAAATAAAATTGCTCAATAGACTAAAAGAAAACAGTAAATTTAAAAAGAAAACAAGAGTTGGATGGAAAAGAGTTAAATAAGAGACACATCACATAAAAGCAAAATAAGATAAGATGGGTTTTATGAAGTGATTTAAAATAAGACACTGATTTTAAGAGTCTTATCTCTACTCGAGGATCTAAAGCTGTGAACGTCTTCACATGTAGTCAGTGTTTCTCTTATATAGCTTGGACCCTGACGAGCTTTAATGTGATGAATAAAATCTTAAAGTCAATCTAAAACGAACAGGCAGCCAGTGGAGGGAATTGACGGATAATTAAGCAACGGAGCAAATGTGAGATTGTGCGTTTTACAAACAAAAGACTGCTGCTGCACGTATTGACAGCCTGCTTCAGCAGCACACAGTATGTCGTTTTTAGAACATAATTTACCTGAAAAGACAAATCACAAGAGAGGTGGAGGTGGAGGTGTAGAAGTGCAAATGAGTCACGTAGCAGCCCTGAGGCACACTTGGAAAAATGGCGCACTTAAAATGCATCAATTATCATATATTATAGGAGGTTGTTTTAATGGCTGGGATCGATCACAAAGAATTACACGAACTCTCCTCCACCTTTGATGAAAGTGCAAATTTGTAGCAGCTCTGAAAATGTTAATACTGCATCACAAGTATGCTGCAAAGGGACCTCAGTGTCTGTTTTCAGATTTAAATCAGTTATTTGAATGGATCTTGTCTTGCAGTAACGGCAGCATTTAAGGTCAAACAGACACCACCAAAGAATAATGTGTTGAAGCACCATACCTTTGGAGCCGGGTCATTGGGTCGACACAGAGCAGGAAACAGCTCCTTAAGCTTGTCCTTTTCTGACTTTGGCTTCGGCTCAGATACTGAAAGGGGAACACATTCATTATGTCACACTTTAATTAATCCAAAAAGAGGAATCTGCATTTATTATTGATATTTTTGGAGTGCAAAAAATGTTCTTTTATAGGAGCACTGAATGCAGTTGTTGATCTGAGTTGAAGTCAACTCACTTATTTATATAGTACATTTAAAAAACCATAAACTTTGAACCAAAGTGCTTTCTAATAGAGAAACAAGACTATCATTATAAATTTGCATAACAAGGTAAATATCACAGTTAAAACTCTGACAAGAGTACAAAATACAACTGCATAATTTATCTGAGTAACTTAACCCTCTGAACCCCAAAACCCACAAGTGGGTTTAAAAACAAAACACACACACACAACCTCCATTGTGTTGTCATTGTCCGTGTTGTGTTGTTTTGTTTGCCGTTTAAATTGTACATGTCTGCACTACCTGTTCTAATATTGCACTACTGTTTCCACATTTCTTTTTTTTTTGTCTTATTTTATTTTATCTTTTTGCACTGCATTCTTTGCACAAACGCTTTAGCTCTGGATCTGGGAAACGCTGTCTCATGTCACTGTGTACTGTACAGCTGTATGTGGTTGAAATCAAAATAAAGCCCTTTGAATCTTGAATTGAGAAAGTCATGTTATCTTCAGAAAAAGTTATACCATTTACCAGAGCCACAAAGAGTAAAAATAGAAAGAATAGTCAGATTTTCGACTTTTCAGTGGTCCTTTAACTACTTATCTATGATGTGTTTTTGCCATGGAAAAATAATATCCTAATTCAAGCTTAAAATCATAGAAACTGATTCTACAAATATAATATATATATATAATTCTGGGCTCCTTGAGTGACTAAGATGAGATCAAAAATTCATTAACTTTTAGGCTGCGCTGCAGGTCGTGTTTACACAAAGCAGATTAGAGACAAATGTGAAAAGAAAATTCAAAATCTAAGTCGTAAAGTATTTAATACACAGAGCCACTGTTTCTCTCAGCATTGTTAACACCTGTGAGCACTTGGAAAAAATGTTGAACATGTTGCTTCCACATGTGTTCTATTTCTGGAAAATAAATGATCAACAAAATTCAACTTTATTTGTTTATTTTCTATAAGCTATGACATTAATACGATGTGTGTCGAAGCTGATTCCTGGTTGTGCTGTTTCCATAGAGGTGCAGGACTGTATATTGCAATGAGCCCACAGTGAAGGAAAAAACACCTACATTACATAACATCAAAGCACGTAAACAGGTAGCATCCCCTTACCTTTACTCGTTGATGCCTTGGATGGAGGTCGCATCGTCTGAATGAGCCTGAGCAAGTTGCTGATGAGCGAATCCTACAAACACAACACACGATAAAAAAAAAGTTAGTTACCAAGTTAAGCTAGCTATCTGTTAGCATAGCGAGTTGCTGTTAAAGATGAACTTACTGTGAATTCGGCTCCATTTTGGAGCAACAGAGCTTTGAATCCATCGAAACTCGGTTGTTTCTCGGCGAGGCTGATGACAAATTCAGCTGCGAAACGACAAATTAACATCGAAACGACTGTTAGCGTAAACTCGCACTCACAAACGTTGCTCGAAACGCACATTGCACCTTTAAAAAATGGCACAAAACAACAATTTAAACGATGGTGAGATGTTATATCAATCACATAAATCTAGCGAACCACACTTTTTTTTTTTTAACGGTACAAGTTCAAAAGCACTTTGAGTAGGTGGCTAACAACAGCTAGCTAGTTAGCTTAAGCTAGCTAGTCGGTGTTCGTTGACTAATTCACGGCACAAAATACTCACCTAGATCTTTGTCGCTTATTCCCAGATGGTTGTCAAGCTCCGTGCAGACTTTGGACACCAAGGACAAATACTCAAGCTGCGAAAGCTCGTCCACTCCGCCGTCTGCCATTCTCCACCACTCGTGTTTTTGTTCAGGGAACGTAAACGACGGCAGACATATTGGATATGGGCAACTTCCGCTTCCGTGTCCTTACGTAATGACGTAGTGGCACGTTTGTTATTTTTTTTCCCGCCACTCACCACACGATGGCGATAAGGCTCCTGACGATAAAATAAAATTAAAAGCACAGTGAGTGACTCCATGTGGGTTACTAGGACATATCAATCTGTCTTTTTGGGTTTTGGCATCAAACTGTGAAAATAGTTTATATTATAAAAGTGATCTATCAAATCAATAGTTCTGGAAGATTTTCAGCCCATATGTTTTTATACTTATTAGACCACCTGGTCCTTGTTTGAGGAACTCTATTAACCCTATGAGGCCCGTAGTTGCCATAAACAAATACATATCTGTAAAGGTTTTTGTTTTTTTAAGGCCGCATAGTCAACAGAAGTGAGAAATATCCTTTAATGTCAAATAAATCAAAACCGTATCACTGCGCTGTACTTGTATTGGTTCAAAATTAAACAGTGGGTGCTTGTTCTGATGTAAAATTTAAAAAATACAGTAGGAAATCAATGCAAAAAAAGCCAATAAACCTTTAATTATTGAGATTCTAATCTTATTTTTTCAATACTTTAATATTTTGATCAGGAGGAGACCAAATTTCTGCAGCGATGTCCAACCATTCTTGAAATAAAATGTTTTCCAGCTGCTCTTTGCTTCAGGCGTTGTTATTGCTCTACCTTTCTCTTCAAAATAACCCAAAGATGTCCTCTTGAATACAAGCCAGGTAGCGTACTTGCCCAGGTCACAGTTTGCACCTTTTTCTACTTTCTGAAATCTTTTTGTGGTTTTGGCAGTTTCCTCTGGATGCTTATCGGGCTGGAATATTCCACTTCTGCCAAGCTTCATCTTGTCAGTCAGTCTTTGGGTATATCCACAGGCATTCGTGGAGAATCTATAAATGTCATTCCCCTATTGGCAATCACGCAGCCAACTATCATCACAGTTCCACCTTTGTGCTTCACTGTCAGGACCATTAATTCACTGTGAATCCTGCCCAGTTTATGCCAAACATGCTGCACTCCAGATGAGCCCAACCGCTTTATTTTGGGCTCATCTGACCAAAACTGGGCTCCCGATGTTTATCAGGCTTGTTTTTGTGTCTTTTAACAAAGATTAATGTCATGGGTTTGCACTGTACAGCAAGCGAGAGTTTTTTTTTTCTTGGACATCATCCACAGATGTGGCTGTTATGCAATGTCCTTCACACTGTCAGAAACTCTGGACGACCTCTGTACTAAGTCTGAGAACTTGCTTCAGACTTGTTCTTTTAAAAGTGGATTGTGTAAGTAGTGCACCGTCTGTGGCAGCGTTTTACTAAGAAGAACACTGCAGCTCTGATTAGTGGCACTACGGCCTCGATCTACACCTCCTGATGACTGCTGCAGCTGTGCTTCAGTTGGTCACTGACCTTTCTGTATCCTTTTGCAATATTGCAAAGTCTCATAATCAGATTTTTTAGTTCCTCTGACAGTTGTTTTCCATACGGAGCCATGATGCAGACATGCACACAGGTCAAAAACTGAGAAAACTTTGGTGTTCACAGGCCATTTTATAATGATGTTTTTCAGTCTGGCTGATTGGAACTCGAAGGTATAATCAGTTTAGTTCACTCTTGTAGCACTGAGTTTCTACTTTACTGTGCTTGATATAGTCTCTTTAAAGTTTTAATTGTTCATAAGAGGCAATATAGTTACGGTAGATAACACAATGTTGAGTATAATGCACATTTCTTGCAGGTTTGGTCGTCACGTCATGAACTCACACGACCTGCAAAACTTTGCTTCTAGCTCATGTCTTTGTTTTATTAAAGCGGATACGTCGAGTTCAAGTAAGTAAAATGCTTTGGACGTTATTATTTGTGGCTCATTTTATAGTTAATGTTTTATGTTCTGTCTACAGTACAGATGTAGCTCCGGCCCCCGGGATGCGTTGCAAGAACTGAATTATGTCTAGTGCAGCCTAAACAAATGTCACAGTGCAATGAAGAATTTATTAGCTGGTGGGTTTAGGGTGTTTTAGATAAGCAAGCACGCTGCTCATTCCGTTCTGCATCGTGCATGTGGGCAGGTGTCTTTGTTTTTATGGTTAGGGCTGGTTTAAATCAAGGGAAATCCTACAACACACCGTGATATTTTAGATGATAAGAGCGCTGTTAAATATGTGGTCACAATTTGGTGAAACTGGCCGGCAGCCCTGCTCTGAACCCAGACCAACACATTTGCATGAATCGTGTTCATTTGGGGGCGAAATTTCTGCAGCCAGGTTCTTCCCAGAAGACTAGAGGCTGTTATGACTGCAAATTAATTGCCATGGATTAGGAGGGACATGTTATGTTCAACAGTCACACATGTGTAATGTTTAGACATGGGTGTAGATTCAGTTTGAACATTCAACAGGAATCCTCCCCACTAAACCTTCAGTGTTAACACTTAAAATCCAGCATTCTGGTAGTTTTCTATGCATCAGTCTGTGATAAAGAAACTCTTTGTACATTTATTTATTGATGCTTTTACCATTTTTAACAGAATTTTAAAAAAACAAACAAACAAAAAAAACTATTTTACAGACATTCCATGTTTTGTTAAATTACAGATAACAAGTCAAATCACCAAAAAACAGCCATTCATTTACATTTTAACTATAATATCCAGTGTGATGTCCACATCAAAGTCTATATTTTTTAAAATATTTTTTACAAATGGTAATTTTTTTTACAACATTTGACAGTAAAATTCCAGTTTTTACTGTGTTTAAGTCAAATTTTAAAAAATATTCCTTGACAGATATTTACCAATATTTGAAAAAAAAAAAAAAAAAAGTATATTATTGAGGGGAAAATGGTAAATAATTTTAAAATGTAATTCCATAGATTTTTCCTCTTTTATTACATCACAAAATATGGCTAATTACATCAGAAAATAAAGCATACATTTACCTGATGAGTGAGAAAAAACAGGTCAAAATTGTACACATTGTCCACATTAAAAATCATATTTAAAAAAAAAAACAAAAAAACTAATTTATTGTTTTTCAATGTTTGAGCATAAAGTTACACATATTTAAAATTTATTTAAATAGCAAAATAAATATATATAATTTGACAGATATTTTTCGATATTTGAAAGACAAATTCAGTATAAAAAGATTTTAAAATAGTAAATAATTCTTTAAATGTTACTTTACAGATTTTTCCTATTTTTTAAGTACAAATAATATTTAGTAAAATCACAGGAGAAATTAAAACAACTTTTACATTACATGTTGACCTAAACAGCAAAGAAAGAAAAAAAGGCCAAAACTTTATGTTTATTCATAAAAAAATAGGACTTTATTCTTTTACAATGTGTTTTTAAATCAGCTAAAAACATAATTATTTTAAAGATATTTGCAGTTATCAACACTTTTTTAAAAGCCTTTTTTTAATGCTACACTTCTCTAGTACAGTATTTTTTAATATATTTTCTGGCTACTTGCTGACAGATTTTGACGGTTTTCCTACAGACTTAATTCTACAGTCCACATCTACTCCTGTGTGTTTAACATATACACTTTTGGCCACACAGTAAATCAAACTGTGAGCAGAAGTCATGAGAAACACTTTGGACAGAAACAAACATAAACTGTGCCTACTCTTTTTTTTATTTTTTTTAGCAATGAATCACTCAATGTGCAATCTCCCAACACTTAGCTCAGGTTCCCGCTACAACTTTCCTCTCTGTTTTTATCTGGGTCTGGTACACAAAGCGTCACTGCATACGCTCCCATGATTCATGGTCTCGCTCTCACTAACAGGTTTATCTCTTGCGGAGTCTTGGACGCTCGGTCTCGGTAAATCAGGGCTGCATGTTGCATGACTTTATACGTACCGTCGGGGTAACGTATTGGCCGAGGCGGTGCGGTGTTTATGCTGGGACTACCAATGGTATGCAGCACACAGGAGACGTCCTTCTCCTCCCCTCGTCCTGGGATAACCCTCCATATACCTCTCAGCAACTCCTTGACCCAGTCACATGGGCCCTCTCCAGAATTCACATGCACACACTGTCCTCTGTCTGTTTACTCTACATATTTCCCCCTCTGTCTGCCTCCTCACGAGCCCCCCTGCCTCTAATCTCCTTATTAAATTCAATCCTCGCCCATAAACACACACTTATTTCACACACCGGTGCTCGACTCCTGATCGAGAGGCCCCACTTCTTCATAACTTCTGACGTATTCTAAATTTAGGAGCGCGTCTTGCCGCGTTACGGCGGATGAACTTCCGCGATCATTATTTGTGCTTCACTTGGCTGTTTTTCGCTTTTTCTGAGATTCCCACTCTCGCTCCTTTTAAAGCATACATTTGACATTTTTTCACGTCCTCTCGCAGTATGTTGACTCGGGCGGTAATGGATTCTCGCGGAGAAGCTTCCATCCCAGGAGATCTCTTTCCTCAGAAATCCCACATGATCTTTTCCAAGTTTTTTTTTTTTCTCCCCATACTGCAATCTGGAATGTATTTAGCTCTTCTGGGTAAAGGAAAAAGCATCTCTACTGTAAAAGCACCGCGAGAAAAGTTCAAAGCATGCGTGCCAAAAGTGTGTGGACACCTGATCATTAATCCCACATGTGATTGTTGAATATCTCATTCTAAAGGAACGGGCATTAATCTGCCGCTATCGGAGCATCCACTCTTCTGCAGATAGTTTCCTGGAAGCTGGCTTCAGGGATTTGCTCCCATTCTGCCACGAGTGTATTAGTGAGTCCCGACATGGATGTTGGATGATCGGACTTGGCTCGCGGTGCTCTGATTCATCCCAGGGGTGTTGAATGAGGCCGAGGTGAGGAAATATGGATCTGGCTTTGTATATAGGCCACTGTCATGTTTAAACAGGAAAAGACTTCATTAAACTATTGACACAAAGTTGGAGTGAAGTGTCGAAGCTGCAGCATCGAAGAAACGGTTTAGCGCTCAACTTCACTCTTGTGTCTTTGACGTATATGAAACAAGAC